ACTTACTTCTGCTCCAACTGGCCAACAATACATGATAGTCAATATAAGCCTGACTCACCCTTAACTGCTCTTCACAAACAGCTAACAGAGATCTGTACACCCACTCTCATTCTCTATCACATCCACCAGGAGACAGGTAGTGAATGTATAAGTGTTGCCGACTAGTGCATAGAAGAGCACAGTACCCTGCTTACTCAGATACATCCAAACAAAACAAAGAAAATGAAAATCTTGGGAAAATCACTCCAACATACCATCACCGATTAAAAATAAATGAAACAATGTCAGAATGTCTTAGAAACAACACACCATCACAGTCCACACAAAGAAGCAAGATAAAGTAGTAGAAACAAGAGACCAGGATACAGACTCAGAACACATCCTTGAGGAAGAAGCAGCATTAGAACTCCCTGATAAGGAATTCAATAGAATTATATTTAGGTACCTTCAATGGATTGAGAAATAGATCAAGGGAAACACTGACAAAATTAGGAAAACCACAGACAAAACCCTAGAACAATTTCAGAAGACAGTATGACAAAATAAATGAAAAATTAGAAATGATACAAAATCCACAGATTGAAATCCAGAAGATTAATATTAAATTCTCAGAAATAGATAACACACTCAACAAGCAAAGGAGTAGAATCAAATCAATGGAAGACAGAATTAGTGAGATTGAAGACAAATACCTCAATACTTCTTTGGAAAGGGAGCATAGGAAAAAAGATCAAAACAAAATGAAGAAATCCTAAGATTCATGTGGGATACCATCAAGAGGAATAACCTACATGTAATCAGAATTCCAGAAAAGGAAGAGACAAATAAAACTACAGAGAAAATATTTGCAGATTTGTTGGAAGAGAATTTCCCTGATATGATGAAAGACAAGAATATATACATTCAAGAAGTCCAATGAACCCCAAACAGAATAGACCCCAAAAGAAAATCACCAAGACATATCATCATCAAATTCACCAAAACCAAAACCAAAGAAAGAATCCTGACAGCAGCACAGGAAAAACAAAAAGTTACCTACAGAGGACAACCAATAAACTAAGCTCTGATTTCTCAGCAGAAACCATGCAGGTAAGAAGGCAATGGGATGGTATATATAAAACCCTGAAAGAAAAAAATTGCCAACCAAGAATTATATACCCAGCAAAATTGTCTATCATATATGAGGGTGAAATTAAGACATTTCCAGATAAGAAGAAATTAAGGGAATTTGTTAAAACCAGACCAACCTTACAAGAGATGCTAAAGTGAATGCAAGAAATGCTGAAATAAAAGAGCTGAACAGAAGATTTCAAAGGACAATTTGACAAGACAAAGTAAAGTATTATAATGAAATGTGCAAAGACTTGGAATTAGAAAACCAAAAGGGAAGAACTCATTTGGCATTTCTCAAGCTGAAAGAACTGAAGATAAAATGCAAGCCTCGAGTTGCAATATTGAAGGATTCTCTGGGCAAAATATTGAACAATGCTGCTGTTGTTGTTGTTATGTTGTAAGTCAGATTCGACTCATAGTGACCACTCTTTGGGTTTCTGAGGCTATATCACTACAGAAGTTGATTACCCAACCTTCCTTCCGAGCAGTGGCAGGTGGGTTTGAACTGCCAGTCGTCTGGTTAGCAGTCAAATGCCTTAGGCACAAGGCTACCAAAGCTCTCTACCATTGAACAAATGCAGGAAGCATCAAAAGAAGATGAAAGGAATGCAGAGTCACTGTATCAAAAAGAATTGGTATCAACTACTTCAGGGGTAGCATATGATCAAGAACCAATGGTATTGAAGGAAGAAGTCCAAGCTACACTGAAGGAATTGGGAAAAAAGGGGGGGGGGAGGGCATGGATTCCAGGAATTGACAGAATACATATCGAGATGTTTCAACAAATGGATACAGTTCTGGAGGTATTTACTCTTTTACACCAAGAAATTTGGAAGGCAGCTACTTGTCCAACTGACTGGAAGAAATTCATATTTGTACCCATTCCAAAGAAAAGTAATCCAACAGAATTTGGAAATTATCAAAAAATATCATTAATATAATATGACAGGGAACGTCCAGAAATGCAAGCTGGATTCAGAAGAGGTCGTGGGATGAGGGATATCACTGCTAATGTCAGATGGATCTTAGCTGAAAGCAAGGAATATCAGAAAGATGTCTACTTGTGTTTTATTGACTAGGCAAAGGCATTCAACTGTGTGGATCATAACAAATTATGAATAACATTGAGAAGAGTGGGAATTTCAGAACACTTAATTGTGCTCATGAGGAACCTGTTCATAGATCAAAAGGCTGTAGTTCAAACAGAACAAGGGGATACTGCATGGTTTAAAATCAGGAAGGGTGTACATCAGGTTTGTATCCTCTCATCATACTTACTCAATCTGTATGCTGACAAATAATTCAAGAAGCTGAACTATAATAAGAAAAATGCAACATCAGAATTAAAGGAAGAATCATTAACAATCTGATATGCAGATGACACAACCTTGCTCGCTGAAAGTGAAGAAGACTTGAAGCACTCACTGATGAAGAGCAAAGTCTACAGTCTTCAATATGGATTACACCTCAATATAAAGAAAACAGAAATCCTCACAACTGTATCATAAGCAACATCCTGATAAACAGAGAGCAGATAGAAGTTGCCAAGGATTTCATTTTACTTAAATTCACAGTGAACATCCATGGAAGCAGCAGTCAGGAAATCAACATCATATTGCACTGGGCAAATCTGTTGCAAAAGACCTCTTTAAAGTTTTCAGAAGCAAAAATATCACTTTGAAGACTAAGGTGCACCTGACCCAAGCCATGCCATTTTCAATAGTCTCATATGAATGTGAAAGCTGGACAATGAATAAGGAAGACCAAAGAAAAATTAATGTCTTTGAATTGTGATGTTGGCAAAGAATACTGGAAATATCATGGACTACCAGAAGAATGAACAAATCTGTCCTGGAAGAACTGCAGCCAGAATGCTCCTAGAAAGCAAGAATGGCCAGACATTGTCTCATTTACTACTTTGGTCATGATGTCAGAAGGGACTATTCCCTGGAGAAGGATATCATGCTTAGTAAATAGAGGTCAGCAAAGAAGGTAAGACTCTCAAAAAAGATGGATTGACACATGGCTGCAATGATGAGCTCGAGCATAGCAAGGATCATAAGCATGGCGCAGGACTGGGCAGTGTTTTGTTCTGTTGTATATGGGGTCTATATGAGTAGGAGTTGATTTGATGGCACCAAACAAAGAGAGCCTTAGTCACTACACTGCCAGAGCCCCTTAAGCATATACTAGGCTCTCAAAAATGGTAACGAAAATGCCATTTGAGTTTCTTATGATATATATAAAGCCCTATCGTAGCTTCTGTCCTCTTCTCCCATCTGTTCTCTTTGTATCTTTCTCCTTCTGCTAATGAACATTTAATTCTGAGAAAAAGAGTGATCCAGAGTAATGTTTTTCAAATTGCTGGTAAACACCCTTTAAGTGAGGTGCCACTGACATTTTAACAAGGAGTGGAATGGAAACTAACAAAAAGCATTGTACGTGTTGTTGTTACTTGCTGTATAGTCAGTTTTGACTTAGTCCCTGTGTACAACAGAATAACACACTGCCCAGTCCCGTGCCTTCCTCTGAATTGTTGCCATGCTTGAGCCCATCATCGCAGCCACTATGTCAATCCATCCCTTTTTGCTCACCCTCTATTTCACCTAGCATGATATTCTTCTCCAGGGACAGGTTCCTTCTGATAACATGACCAAAGTATGAGAGACGAAGTTTCACCATTCTTTCTTCTAATGAGCATTCCATTTATACTTCCTCCAACACAGATTTGTTCGCTCTTCTAGCAGTCCATAGTGTTTTCAGTATTCTTTGCCAACACCACAATTCAAAGACATCAACTCTTCTTCTGTCTTCCTTATTCATTGTCCAGCTCTCACATGCATATGAGTCTATTGAAATTACCATGCTTCCAGGTACACGCTAGTCTTCAAAGTGACATTTTTACTCTTTAACACTTTAAGAAATCTTCTGCAGCAGATTATCTTCAGCAAAATTTTACTTGTGAAGGATAGTAATGATATTGTTCAATAAATTCCACATTTTGTTGGATCACCTTTCTTTGGAGTGGAGACAAATACAGATCTCTTCCAGTCAGTTGGCCAAGTAGCTGTCTTCCAAATTTCTTGGCATTAATAAGTGAACACCTCTAGCACTGCATCCATTTGTTGAAACATCTCAATGAATATTCCATCACATCCAGGAACTTGCTTTTCACCAATTCCTTCAGTACGGGTTGGACTTCTTCCTTTAACACCAACAGTTCTTAATCACATGCTACCTCCTGAAATGTTTGAAAGTCAGCACTTTTTTTTTTTTTTTTTTGGTATAGTGACACTGTGTATTCCTTCCATCTTCTTTTGGTGCTTCCTGGATCACTCAATATTTTACCCATAAAATCCTTCAATATTGCAACTCCAGGTATGTATATGATAAGAATAGATATTATAAATACTGTTTCCTGAAATTTTGAGTTATTTCTGTATTTGTTTGTGCTTCTGTGCTCACACATACATATGCATGTGTATTGGTCATTTTGCAAAATGTGTTCCTTATTGTAGGCCATAGCCATAATAGTTTGTATGCTTCAGACTCTACCCTCTCCTGCCCCACACCACACTAAATTTTCTGGTGGGCTTTTAACCAGCTTCCTTAACTGGATAAGACATGGTCTCTGCTCTGGTTGGGACATCATTATTCAGGGCTCATCCCAGGAGCCATCATTTGGGAGTTCAGGACTCAACATCTCCTCTGGCATAACTGATAGCAATGCTAGAATTTCTGATTAGAAAGTCAACCAACTTAAAATTAGAGAAGAAAATGTGACCAGGCAGTTCCTGTGGTTAACAGCCCTGCCCCTCCCTCACTTGTTGGGAGTTATAAAACCCAAGACTGGAAAACAAAACCAGCACCTGACATGGGTGGCTGCTCTCAGAAGATGCATCTTATTTTTCTTCTCCTACTGGTCTTTCTCCTATCGCCCAGAGCTGAAGCTGGTGAGTTTGGGGATCCTTCTCTCTGGAATCTAGAGGATCAGCTCCTAAACCAAAGAAGCTTGATTTGAATATAGCTGACTCTTAAATAGGGTTCCAGGATCTCCCTTTAAGAGTCCTAGAGTGAACTCTCCACTTGGGATATGCCCACTCATTCCCTATAGACAATGGTAGTTCCCATAAACAAGGAATTCTACAATGATTGGGAAAAAAGTCACAGTAAGTGAGAAGGATAGCCCCAAGAAAACAGTCACATCCTTTAATCTTCTGAGCTTTGGTATTACCCATTATCTTGTGACTTGATGGTTCTGTGACACCACTTATGGGCTGTGGAAAAGCCAGGACTGGAACCTGGAGAGCTTGTCCTGCTCAATGACACAATGATGGGGGGAAGGTCTATGGGGGGAAAATGCCTAAATGACTTCTAAGACAGTGTTAGTTGTTGCATTCTGAAAGAAGGAATGAGAATTTATGTTTGGAAAGCAGAGAGACACGTGAGAGGGAAGATGGGTCAAAAACAGATGAGAGGATGAGATTCAAGGGAAACCTCTCTCAACTTTAACCCAACTTGTATGTTCTCTAGAGAGTATGCTGCCTGTGTTCAAACCCTGGGGTTCTCTGTTCCAGGGGAGATCATCGGGGGCAAAGAGTGCAAGCCACACTCCCGCCCCTACATGGCCTTCCTGGAAATTTGCACTTCTGAGGGTCACACGGGCCATTGTGGTGGTTTCCTGATAAGACGGGACTTTGTACTGACGGCTGCTCACTGTGCAGGAAGGTGAGAAGACAAGGTCTTATTGATCTCCAAGTGGGGGAAATGGTAGGAACCAGAGATATACCCATGGTGTGGCCTAAGGTGGGGCTCCAAGACATGAATAATCTTTAAGGAGAGAGAAGAGTTGGACTTGAAGAAATTAGTCTCCTACTTGAATAGATAATGTAAGCCTCGGTCACTGAGAGCTGAGGAAAGAGATACTCCCTCCAAGGATCCTTCCTCTAAACCTAGTACTCCTTCATCCCCTCCCCAATATAAAGATACATGACTCACTTTAGGGGTCATGGTTCACTGGGTTTCTTCTACTGTATCCTTTTCAAGAGACCTGGTCATTAGTTCTTAGGGACCAAACCCATCCTACTTATGGGAAACAGAGAACAAGTTTCACATGGGACTCTATATTCTCCCCTTTCCTTTGATATCCCCTATGTAAGATGGCTGGTTCTGATATCTAGCTCCTTGGATTTGTATATACTAACTCTGCTCCCATCTTTCCTCCATGACCTGATCAGGAAAAAAAAAAAAAAAATCCACTGCCATCAAGTCAATTCCAACTCATAGCAACCCTATAGGACAGAGTAGAACTACCCCATAGTGTTTCCAAGGCAGTAATCTTTACAGAAGCAGACTTCCTCATCTTTCTCCTGGAGTGGCTTGTGGGTTTGAACTGCTAACTTTTCAATTAGCAACTGAGTGCTTAATTACTGCACCACCAGAGCTCCAAAGCCTGCTCAATCCCCAGAAATTCCAGAGGGTCCTGGAAGCTGTCTCTGTATTCCCTGGAAAAACTGTTCCCTGAGTAAAATCTGAGCCTCTCAAACACCACAAGTGGCCCAGAAAAAGGCATTAGTAAAGACCGAATGAGACACTCCATCCTCCTTTTCTCAAAATGGGTACATCTCAGGAGAAAACCAAAACCACCACTATTTCTTCTTGTCCTTCTCTCTCCTTCACCATAGCTCTATAGTTGTCACCCTTGGAGCCCACAACATAAAAGAAAAACAAGACACTTGGCAGAAGCATGAGGTCATAAAACAATTTCCTCATCCAAAATATAACGGCTTTACAGTGCGCAATGACATCATGTTACTAAAGGTGATAACATCTTTCTTCCCCTTCTCTGCATCCTGTCCTCTTAGTCCTCGCCAAGTCCCTATTGACCTGAAATTTCCCTGACTTCTCTCTGAACCACACTCCATGTGTGGTTCCGTTCCCCACTAACCCATTTGGACTTTAGTTTTGGTGGGAAGCTATTCACCCTGGTCCTGCCTGATTGCCTCCAACTGCTCTGTGACCCATTTCTCATGCTAACAGCTCCCCATTCCCTTCACAGTTAAAAGAGAAAGCCAACCTGACCCTGGCCGTGGGAACGCTCCCCCTCCCATCCCAATCCAACTTTGTCCCACCTGGGAGAATGTGCCGGGTGGTCGGCTGGGGAAAAACAGGAGTGGAAGAACCGGGGTCAGACATTCTGCAAGAGGTGAAGCTGAGACTCATGGATCCTCAGGCCTGCAGGCACTATCCAAATTTTCACCACAATCTCCAGCTGTGTGTGGGCAACCCCAGGAAGATAAATTCTCCATTTAAGGTAACCCTCACACCTGGGTTCTTCCCCACAAATTACCGGTGGAGGGCCAAAATTCTTCTGGGAAGGGACAGGGTCAGAAAATTGTCAACCAGTGAGAAGTTTGGTATCACAGGACTGAGGAAACCAGCCTACCCTCTGCATATCCCTCCTCCCATTGTCTGGTACAGTTTCTGACCTTTCATCCCAGTCTGCTGCACAGAGAAAGTAAGCAAGATGAAGAAGTCTTGGTGGTGTCCCAGGGAAAGAAGAAGGCATCAGACCTAGAAGTACAACTCCATTAGGAGTCAGGGCTCTTGGCCTGACTTTAAGTCTGACTGTGACAAGGGGTTGGGACTCACAAGCAGGAATGGGGGGACTTCTTTAACTCACCTTCTGCTTTCTCTCTCTCTCTCTCTCTCTCTCTCTCTCTCTCCCCCATCCCTCTCATATATATATGTGTGTGTGTGTGTGTGTGTGTGTATATATATATATATATATATATATATATATACATACATACACACATATCTTTCTCTCTCTCCCCCTCCACAGGGAGACTCTGGGGGACCTCTTCTGTGTGCTGGGGTGGCCCAGGGCATTGTCTCCTATGGACGGGGGAATGCAAAGCCCCCTGCTGTCTTCACCCGAATCTCCCATTACCGGCCTTGGATCAATAAGGTCCTGAAGGAGAATTAACCCTAGGAGCCTTGGCCAGCCTGAGAAGAAACCCAGACCTGGACCTGAACCTCTCTGTGCTAACTGCTGAGGCTCAAGAAGCTTCCTGAGTATTACAGAACTCTCAGGAAACTTCAATAAAGACCTGCTTCCAGACTTGAGTGTGTGTCTTCTCTCTCTGCTGCTCTCTTTAACTTGCTCATAACACAACAATTCACATAAGTGAATTCCTAGCCCAGGAATTCTGTAATATTTGGAAGGGTTGTGGGTGTGTGACTGTGTGTGGTTGTGTAAGAGAGAGAAAAGATAATGGGAAAAAATACAGAAAGAGAAAAAGGGCTTCCCTGCAGAGGAAGAATCCATTTTCCAACTAAAAAAAGAAATTATATCAGCTCTTTCCTTGTCTTGATCATCAACCCTGTACCCTGAAATATCTTTAGTAATATCCAGAAACAATAAGAACATTTTGAATTGCAAACAAGATGTAGGAAGTTGAGTAGCATCCCTGACCTGTTCCTGCTAGGGCAGTAGCAATCCCTCTCCAAGTTGTGATGATCAAAAATATCTCTAGACAGTGATAAATGTCCCTCAGGGGTGACAAATCACCTCTTGCTGAGGCACATGATATTGAAAAGGCAGTTGGTGTCACACTGGGCTTCCCTCAGTCTACCTAGATAAGAGAAGATCTAGCATCTATGGAACTCTGAATTTGTGATGCACAGAAGATTGTCTTCCATTCATGGCTGTAAAACAAATACAAGGAACAGATAAGAGGAGTGACAGCATCACAAGGTCTACATGAGCAACACCAAAGCACAAAGGGCTTCACCCAAACCAGCACAAAGTAGAAGCCTACAGCTTGCCCAGCACAAACTCTTACCAATTTCTCTTACCACATGAGTCAAAGCAGGGCTGGACAGGGACAGACCAACAGGAACTTGAGACTGATAATACTTACCACTTCCAAGGATGCAGTGAATCTCTTTGACCACGTTAACTATTTCTAGGAATTTGTCTTAGAAATAATCAGTAATAACACAAAGATCCATGTACAAAGATTTTAATCTCAGCATTTTTTATAATAAAAAATGTTTGAGTCCCAGCCATAAAACAAAGCTTAAATGGTAAATTCATAGCATTGAACATTTTGAATTCATTAAAAATTTGTTTCCAAAAACATTTCATGATGTAGGAAAATTCAATATAAGGTAACATTTCTAAAAGCAATATAGAAATCTCCCTACAGTAGAATCTCAATTTTGTACTTATATATTTTATGTATGCATTGGGAAAGACTGGAAACAATTACATGACAATAATTATGGTGGGATGGGATTAATAGCTATTTTTATTTTGTTTATATGATGGCTGCAAGCCCCTTTTATTAACTGTTGGGGACTCAGCACCATATATCAATTGGTCACAGGATTCACACATACACTCATCTTTTGTCTTTTGTTGCTCAAGGTTTGTCCTATGGGTACTTAACATCCCTGCACTTCCAGAAAAATAAAGAAACACATATCCAAAGTAGGTACCAATACCAGCAAGAACAAATAGCTGCTCCCTCTAAAGTAGAATGGGACTGAAGCAATCTCACCAGGTGGCTGGCTGCCTGGTCTCCCCAAGAGGAATGTCATCTCTAGGGTTCAGCAATAATCTCTGCTACTGGGAGGTTGAACATTCAGTTGTGGCAGTAGCTGAATCAAACTTGGTAAGAGAGAGAACATGTTCTTTGAGCCTTGAATAACATCTACTACTACCTCTGTGAACAGAACTTTACTCTGTTCATGGCCTTCTGTGCCAAAACTGGAGTGGTCAAGAAAAAAATTTAGCTGATGTCCACAGGACAAATCATCCTTCCACCTAGTCTTTGAGACTTTGTGAATCCATTGGGCTTGTGCCCAGGCACAGCAGTCTCTCCTTATCAGGCATCACTGTGCATGAAGGCTCCATGGTCTGTACCGGGAGTGATGACCAGGGATGGGTGACCACGGGAACAGTGTGAGCTGTCACTAGGGCCACTCCAGCCTAAAAGCATTGTCATCATTGTAACATGAAAAATAAGAGATTTACCTCATAAATTCAATGATCTTGCTAAGATTTCCAGGCAGGATATTGAAAGTGCCTTCTTGCCACCTAGGATAAAATGAAAGAAGAAAGAGATGAGATTAAAAAAAAATTAAAAAGTATTAAGGAGTTCCGGCAAGATGGTGGACTAGGCACAAGGACTGCAGAGACGCTCTTCAACAAAGAAAAGGGAAACCAATGAACACAGACACAGAAGATAATCTTGGACCCCTGAGCCTTGAAGGGAAGGATACAAAAGTGGACTAAACCCCAACTAGCAGAAGAATTTGCATGAAA